CAGCACAGAGAAACACTTGCCACAGTACTGTGTTGGACACTGTGGTAGTATGAATGGAATTGGCTCTCATAATCTCATAGAGAATGTCACTATTAGGAGGTGTGACTTTGTTGGAGTGGGTATGGCCTTGTTGGAGGAAGTGTGTCACTATGGGAGCAGGCATTAAGGCTTCCTATGCTCAGGATACAGCCCAGTGTTTTAGTTGACTCCTGCTGTCTACTCCAGGACCACATCTGTCTGCACACTGCCATGCTCCCTATCATGATAATAGTTGACTAAACCTCTGAAACTGTGAGTCATCCCAATTAAATGTTTTCTTTATAAGAGTTGTCATGATCATTGTGTCTCTTCACAACAATGAAAACTCTTATTATAATGGATATAATGTATTCTTACCTAGTTATTCATCTACTCCTGTTACAAAATTTATTGTTTTATGCCCTTGTGATTGAGACACTCTTAAGAATTCATTATACACTACTGTCATCTTGCTGGTCATAAATTGTTTTAGGTTGTTTTTGTCTTGAGATATCTATATTTCTCTATATTAAAAGTATGATTGTGAGGAGAATCAACACAGAGGGACACATACTTCCATGCTTCCATGGTCAAGTGAGGCCTTTGGTCCATTCTCAACAGATGGAGCAACTGATTTTATTTTTTGTTTTAGAGGCTTATCTCAAGATAAAATGACTCCTAAGGGTAATATTCTCAACTGGACTTAATAGTCAAAAAGAAAAAAATGCTTAATTTTGGCTTTCTCCATGGTTTTATATACCCAAACAGGAAATTATAACCAAAGATTAAAATGGCTCTTTTCTTAGCAGCCCATGAAATCACAAATCTGTATGAGATGCTGTTTAGACAATATTTTTCTCATTAAGGATTTTCTTCTTAATAAAGAAGATGCTGCTCATATATAGAACATTATGACCTTGGCTCAGATTCTGAGTTCATCACTCTGGAGTCCAGCATTGGAGACCAACGAAAAACCCTTGAGAAAAGTCCAGTGAATAGACATTGTAAGCCCATCAAGAGATGCTAATGAACTTTAATTCTGACATGTGAAAATGTCCTTTGTTTGGGCCTCTTGTGGTTCTCTGCCTAAGATTTGGATTGCTAATATAACCTTATTTTGTCTTATAAAGGAAAACATTTCATCGGAGTTTTAGTCTATTATCATCATGACAAGAAGCATGGTAGTATGTAGGCAGACTTGGTCATGGAAATGTAGCTGAGAATTCTACATATGGATCAGCAGGCAGAAGGAAGAGACAAGGAACTACTAGTCTGTGGCTCCCCTTTATTTTCACAGCCTGTTAGCTACTAGTCAACAAGGACAAGGGGAAGAAGCAATGATAGAAAGCCTTGAACAGCCTGTGAACATGAGGAAGACAGCTGTCCAGGAGACTACTTCAGTGACTCTGCTCAACTTTACTCCAGAATATAGGGAATATATAGGATTGGGAACAGTAGTTTGGAAATCACCTAATTTGCATTAAACAATATGCTCCTATCATAAAGTTCCTAGTTACAAGTCTTAGTTATCATATGTGGAAGTGTGGTCCTATTGTAATGTTCCTAGCACAATATCTAATTACCATGTGGGCATCAGGGGGAAGAATTTTTGCAGAGAACTGCTTCCAGGGTCATATTAGAGATAAGTCAGGCATCCAGTTCTAGAGACAGTTTCCAAATAAGGTCTACCAGAAAACAGGGTGCCTTCCACCAGGGAGAGGAAGTTATCCATGTTGCCCAGCTTTGAGAGAGCTGCCAGTCCATGATAGACTGCAACCTCTGAGCAGCAGGACCTCCCAGGACTAGGCATGGCTTGAGCTTTTGAAACCTCAAATCCCTCTCCATATGACACACTTCTTTCGACAACGCCACACCTACTCCAACAAGGCCACACCTTCTAATAATGCCTTTCCCAGTGGGCCTAAAGGGGCCATTTTTATTGAAACCACCACCTGGCCTCCATACACCTGTAGTCATAACATAATGCATTTAGTCCAACCTCTAAAAGCCCTCATAGCCTATTACAGTCTCAAACTTGTTTAAAAGTTCAAAGTCTCTTCTGAGATTCATGCAATCTTTTAACTTTAACCCCTGTACAATCAAAACAAAAAAGCAGATTATCTATTTCAACATATAATGGCACAGGATATTCATTACTGTTCCAAAAGGGATGGAGGGAAACATAATGAGAAAATATTGAACCAAAGCAGGACCAAAACCCAGCTGGGTAGACTCCAAACTCTACATCTCCATGTCTGATGTCAAGTTGCTCTTCAGATCTCCAGCTTCTTTCAGCTTTGTTGATTGCAACACACTTCTCTCTTTTCAACTGGTTCTACTTTCTATTAACAGCTTTCCTAGGCAGGTATCTCACAGCTCTGGCATTTCCAACACTTTAGGATCTCCAAGGCAATCCAGGCTTCAACTTCACAGGAATGCTAACTCTTGCCTTTACTTTCTTATATTACTTTATAGGCGCCAGCCAAGGAGTTCCTTTCCACCTTACATATAACAATTATTCAGATAAAACCACTGATGAACATTCAAGGTCCCTTAGAAAGAAGCACTGCAGTAGTACCCCAACTGCTGCACCTGACAACCCTACTCAACTTTAAAAGGCTATGTAGATCATGATCCCAGTTCCCTAATGAAAGCTAATGTTGCCTCTTCAGAGGAGGGAAAGATGAGGACAGGAGATAATAATAAAAAAAAAACAGGACATACTATTTACATATTGGGGCCTCGATTCATGCCCTTGGCCACAAATTTAAAATGTCCTTGGTTCTGTAATGCCAGAGGCCAGAATTGCCAAAGAGTATTTGTGGGCTCTGATCCCTGGTCTGACTCCTAAATGATTTCAGCGTTACTTCTTTAGATGAGGAGAATGATGAGAACAGGAGACAGAAACTGGTCTGGTAGGGTTAGGACCTCAAAGCAGAAGTTCCATACATTCCTTTGCTGGAGCAGTGCCAGAGTTAAACAGTTCTTTGTCTTTATTATCCCCTAAGTGAGTGATTTTGCATAAAGCCTCTATGTGACTCCATTGAAGGCGTAAGTCACAAACAATCCCACACCAGTTTGGAATTATGATTAATAGGATTGTTATTTATTTAAGGGGGAAAAACTTACAGATCACCATCCCAGACAACAGCCCTCTGCGCAATCAGGAAGGGAGCCTAGTCGCCAGAAGCGGAACCAGAAGCCAGAGAGAGAGCAAAGGGAAGTGGCTGCTTTTTTAAAGAGAGAGAGACCATGCTCCAATGGGCTGGTATCTCAGCAGCTATTGAATGAAGGAGCGAAAGGAGCTCCCGCAACAACACATGACTGAAACTGAGAGGAGGAACATAAACACCTTGCTGGGACAACTGAACTAATCAACTCATACTCCTCCCCATACTTCATCCCAGTTTCTGCCATTAGTCCTTTAAAAAGGCCCCAGACTAACAACTTGATGTTATCCTATCTCCTGGGACCCTTCCTCTTATACAAGAGCCCTGTTCTCTATCTATATTCTTCCCTCCCTCCTTCTCTCTTTTGACTCCTACCTATAAATCTATAATAAACTTTTCTGTTTATATTAAACTCAAAAATATGTTTTCTCAAGATTGCAATCTTGAGTGGCAATTGTTTACTTCCAAGGATTGAATATACCATTCCTTGCTTTCCTGGTTTTCATCATTGCTTATAAAAGGTATACCTGTACTTTGTCCACCCACAGCTATAGTTTTCTTTCTGTTGTTCTGAGTAATTACATTTTCACATATAATTTTCAGTGTCTGAGGCTCATATTTAACTTTTCCAATGTTAACCTTGACCCTCGTTGCTTTTCTACCAATCCCTCAGTTTGTGCCTGAGAATATCTGTGTCTGCAAGTCTGTCAGACTCAGTTCAGTCCTTATAGTTGTGTCCTTGTTGTTTTCCAGATTGTATTGGTATGACAAAATATCTGACAAAACAACTTTTGAAAATAAGTATTTATTCTGGCAAATGATTTAAGGAAGTCCTGGCAACAGGCACAACTAACTGTAGCTTTGGTAGCAGGAATAAGCAAGCAAAGAGAGATAAATTCTGGTATATATTTAATATGAGTTAATATTTATTGGGGAAAATAAGTAATGAATGAATTTACAGCTTCTCAAGAGTGGATTTGGAAGGACTTATTTTATGTTGCAGGGTATATTTGAATAAAAACTAAGTATTAGACTATGGGTTATGATCTTTACTTTGAAGAGATGGCAAATATTTTAGGCTTTACAAATCACATACTACCTTCATCTACCTTCATTTTTATGTTTTTAACATTTTAAAAATAGAAAATCCATAACTCATTTATGGAGCCCATCATATATAATACCTCTCTGCATGAGGTGAGAAACAAGAAACAGTGAAGAAAACAAATATAATCCATATGCATATCAGTAGAGGCCTTTTATCATTCTCCTCTCTGCTCTCATCCACAAAAGCTCAAAAAATTTAACTTTAGTCACCTCATAGCCTGTTATTTCAGAACGCTCCCAAGAAATCACTAAAGTCTTTTGAGTCTCTACCTATGGTATTTATGTGTTATTAGTTTCACCCCATAAATAAACATAAAATTCAGTACATATTATCAAGCCTACATATGAATGTACATATAAATATACATGTGTGTGTACATATATATATATATATATATATATATATATATATGTACACATACACAAGTCAACTCAAAATTAGTTTTTTGTTTTTACTAACTTTACTACATATTTGCCAGGTCATTAAATAGAGTCACCTGAAGAACCACATAGACTTTTTTTGGTTACATGGCTTTCTTCCTCTTCCCATACCACAAATTAAGATAACTATGCTTTTCAAATTATCTGGTTTGTCTTATTGAGATCATTAAACCTATTGTTTTATAATACGTATAGCTATATTTATAATTGTATCATTATTCCCATGGCCTAATAAAAATTATGTTACTCTCTCTTGTCTTCTAGGATGTGGTGCCATAAGTTGTTGCACCTACAAAGCAGGCTGCAGAATTTGATGAAGAGAGGAGACATAGGTCAAGCTCTTCACCTGTCCAACTTTAAAAGTTTATTTTCCTTATCCACCCATTGGCGCCATACATCTTCCAAGTCTGTGAATTGTACTTGGCTCCAACATGAAGATCATTTGGGTAAGAGATGTGTGGGGACATATTAATTTTTAATTGTGGTAAAAACAGATAGCACACTAAAATCCCATCTTAGTTAGAGATAACTCTGCAGTGCTCCAGCCAAACTTCATACCCTGTATCATCTAAGAAAAAAAAGAAAGCCTCAATAGCCATGATAAAATGTTTAACGCATATAGACTAGGAATATTACAAACACAGAAAGTACTACAAGGTAAAGTGTAGAGCGAGCTTTACCCATTGTATTGATTCCTAAGGTTTCTGAAAGGATTTCAAACTGAATAGTGTCAGAATACACTCCAAGAATGGAGTTGTATGAGGGAAATTCTGAGTGCTTGTGAGAAAACTCCAAGAAAACAAGAGTCTTGTGACCTCGGTTTCTTTAAAAGCACAGAATTGTTCTTGGGATTTGCTTTTTTGTTCCTACCAGTTGTAATGAATAAATGTAAGTTTGTTTCAGCTATTTTTATTCATATGCCTCTATGAAAAAACATGTTTTTGCCACATGTGGCTTGTCCTGGTAATTGTATACTTTACTCGGGTGATTCTTCTTAACCCTCAGAGTATAAATTGTCTCATATTCTGAATAAAGTTGGCTATATACATGAAACTTCAGAACACTTCATTTTTAGGCTCACTCTTCCAGGTTGACATGGCCAACTAGAGAAGTAAACAGATCGAATAAAACATAGGAATATATTTTCTCACAATGTCTTTGGAAAATCATAGTATTGGCAAGGCTGCACTCCCTTCAAAGGTCTTTGACAGAATCTTCAGTTAACCTATTCTATTTTCTTTTAGATGCCAGAAATTCTTGGCTTTTTTGTTTCTTTGCTTGCTTGCTTATAGAATCATCACTTCAATCTTGCTTCCATTACATTGTCCTCTACATTATTTTGAAGTAAGCCTCTCCTTATAAAGATGGCAATCATTATAACTTTTAAACTTGATTATATCAGCAATGACTACAGATGCTCCAATGATATATTTATTCTGTATTCTCAAGTCTTTCATCAATGTTTTATAGTTTTGAATACAGAGATGCTATTTTGTTGGCTAAATTTATTCCTAGGTACTTTATTTTAGGAACTAAATGAATGGAATATTTTTCTTGACTTTTTGTAGCTAATCAACTTTAAACTAATTTTCTTGATGTTGGTAACTTGTTTCTTTTCCCTTTTATCTTGACTAACATAGCTAAAGATTTATTAGTTTTATTTCTTTCAAGGAAATCATTTTTGGGTTCATTGATTTTTTTTTCTTATCTCTCATTTTCAATCTATTTCTTATCCATTTTTGACTATTCATTAAGTTTAATTTGTTCTTGTTTTATTTCTTAATGTTATAACTTAGGCTATTAATTTTAGATCTTCTACTGTATGCATTTATTGCAATATATTTCCTTCTAATCACTTCTTTAGTACTTTCTTGATGGTTGAGAGATTGGACGCTTAAAAAAAGGAATCCCACACTAGCTCAGAACTAAGAAATAGACTGGCATTTATTAAGGGGTAAAACTTACAAATCAGGATTCCCTGTTTGAACAATGGATAAAGATGAGATCCAAAACAAACCGAACCAGCAAAATGGGGCCCAGAGGGAGGAGAGAAGGGGCAGGATGCACTTCCGCATCCAGGTAAATAGTCTATGAGGCCACGCCCCAGTAGGCAGATAGTTACTAGCTGTAAATCTTCCCACAGCACCTTCTAATATTTTTGTAAACTGTATACTCATTTTGATTTAGTTCAGAATGTTTATTTGTATATTTAAATGCTTATAGCTTAATTTCTAAATGCACAGTACTTTTATATTTTACTATTATTTATTTCTAGTTAATTCCATTATACTGAGAAAACATTATATATTTTTAGATTTCTTTAACCTTTTGAGCTTTGTTTTATGTCTAAGAATGTGGTCTTTCTTGGTGGGTTTTCATGTGTACTTTAGAACACATGGTTCTCTGTTGTAGGAGGCTGCTTGTTTGTTCCAAGCTGCCCAGAACCAAAGTAATCTCACAGAAACCATATTATTTGCAATACTATTTGGCCAATAGCTTAAGCGTATTTCTGGCTAACTCATATCTTAAATTAACCCATCTCTATTAATCTATGTATCGCCACGAGGCTGTGGCTTAAGAGGTAAAGTTCTAACATCTGTATTGGTGGTGCTACATGGCTTCTCTCTGATGCCATCTTCTTTCTCCCAGCATTCAGTTTAATTTTCCCTGCCTACCTCTGCTCTGCCCTGCTATAGGTCCAAAGCAGTTTCTTTATTAATCAATGATAATCACAGCATACAGAGGGGAATCCTACATCAGCTCTTTGTCCCACAGGTCAATTTGTCTATTTTTATAACAGTTATATGCCATGTTCATTATGATGGTTTTGTAACATCTTTTGAAATTAGGTAATATGATATCTCTACTTTTGTTCTTTCTATCCAAAATTGCTTTGGCTATTTGGAGCTCTTAAGTTGAAATCTTTCTTCTAAGATCACAAACAAGATAGAAAGGTTACAGTTGCTGCTTCTATTGATCATTAGACTAGAAACCTTACCCAGGGTAATTAGGTGAGAAAAAGAAAAGGTATGGTTTTTCATATGAAAACCATGAAGGTTCCACTACAAATACTGAAGTAACTAGTACATTAATTAAGTGAAGATTATATATATAGTTAAAATGAATAATCTGAAGGAGCCATACTGTTTCAGCATATGTATCATAGTTCTGAGATTGAGAATCTTTGGAATAGCGAATAGGCCATCCCAAAAGTCATTCTTAAAAACCTCAAACCATCAATGTTTTTTCTTTTGCCGATTGATATATGTGTGAATTGAGTCACATTAAATATTTATGCTACTTAGAAGTCTACCATGGTTTTTATTTTCTCCTTTTCTCATATTTTATTTATGCCTGCACAATTCTTCATTTTCTTCCAGGGATAAGTAGAACACCCTTACAATTTTCCATCTTTCCTTAGTGTACATATAGACTTGCATAAGTGTTTGTCGTTCCAAACATAAATGCATATTGGAGCTTTTCAAGACTCTTTAGAATACCTCATTCTCTGGTTCATGTTGTTAGATTTCTGGGTATTCTTTTACTGTGTTTCTTGCCTGCACAAAACCTAGGGCAAGGATTTTTCTGAACTGTTTTCCAAATCAAGTTAGTTCACTTTGACAGCAGAACTGCAGGTTTTTTTGGATTGTCTACCCTTATAAAAATACTGCTAATGGAGCTAGAGTAGGAACAAAGAACATCTAAAGCTGAGCACATGTTCCTGTTTTTACTAACTAAAGTTCAGTAGATATTTTCTTGAATAAATGTTTCTTTGTAAAATAAATTTTATTTTTAATTTAGTGTAAATTTAATGCAACATGGTATTATGAGATACATGTAGACAATAAAATGATTACTTATTAAGCAACCTAATATTTATAAACCTATTAACTATACTCACATTGTATATTAGATTTATAGTCTTGAATATCTTCTATTCTACTATGTATCTCCTGATATATATTTCCTATTTCCTCCCAGTTGTCTTTTTCCCAGTAACTACTGCTTTAGCCTCTATCTCTGTATAGTTGAATTTTTTTTGTTTTCCACATAACATCTGAAATCATATCACATATTTTATTCCATGTTTGACTTATTTCATTATAGAGGCATATTATTTGTGTTTTAATAAATAAAGCTTTTCTAAAGATCAGTGCAAAGCAGCCACACTAGTCATTCATACAGATCAGGCAGTGGTGGCACACATCTTTAATTCTAGGCATCATAATAGTTAGCCATGGAGACCAGGTTGTGGTGGTGCATGTCTTTAATCCCAGCACTAGAGAGGAATATAAGATGGGAGGAGACAGGTCTTGTGCTCAGTCTCAATCTGAGGATTCATGGAGGCAGGATCATTCATTTTCAGTCTGAGGTACAGTGGCTGACTGCTTTGCTTTTCTGATCATTATTTTGAACCCCAGTGTCTGTCTCTGAGTTTTTATTATTCATGCTACATCTGGCATCCAACATTTGGGGTATGAATTCATGAAAAAGCTGTTTCCTTGTGACTTTACAGCCACCAGCATAGGTCGGACCTACACATTGCTGGAGTCACTGCTGTACTGGCTAGGTTTCTCTTTTTTCTCTCCTTACGGGCTCTCCCTGAACCCCTTTCTTAGGCTGCTGCCCAACTAGTTAGTTGCCTTGAAATTCAGTCAAGCTTTTATTGTTCTGTGCAACAGCAATAAGCCTCTCATCTTCATCAATGTCAGCAGAACATTTGGTAAGACAATTGGGAATTCTTAAAAAGATGAATTAGTAAAAAGAGTTTTTTCCCACATTAAAAATGGGGAAAACCATTACAATGGAAGGATTTGGATGTCTGTATGATAATATGCTAGACCATTTGAAACGGGAATTAAATGAGAGCATAACTGATTTAGATGAGATTTATGTAATGTCAGTTTTAAACATTATCAACTTTATCATTTTTGGTTATCACTAAAAAGTTGGTTCATCTGAGAGCTAAGATACAGCCCTTAGAAAAACCTAGTAAAACAGGTTACACAGCTATTCAAATCCAAATCCAGACAGAGGAATTTAATTGAGAACCAATTTCAGCATTGCATTATAAGAATAGTGAGGAAAAGTCTAAAGTTTTCAAACAAACAACCTTAGGATATCCAATAACTTTATAGTAATTGCCAAATGTCAAAAATTCCATTACAGTTAACTGGACTCCTGTGCCAGTGTTAGATTTAAGGGGATTTAAGGAAGCAATAGTCTCATGAGGCATGAATTCACCTTTTGTGAACCAAATGTTAAACTCATGGTCAGTGTGTAATAGAATTACCCCTAAAAACTAGATAGAATTGGTTAAAGGTGTTTTAGAGCCTGGTTCACAATTACAATAGAGTACCTTGTTCAGAGAAGAGGAAAAGATTATTGAATAATAGAGTAAAGCTAAATGTATGGAAATATCCCCAAATCAAATTCTTGAAGAAGG